ATCTTCCAAAAGCCCAGGTGAGTGTTGTGCTTGTCCAGAGGTCTTTAATCAGAGGTCCTTGTTTGTTTGGTAGGCTGGTTGGTTTGTTCTGTGTGTGTATGTGGTCACATGCTCATGCATGTTCCTATGTGTCTTTGTATGTTCACACATGCCAGGGTGCGCATGTAGATGTCAGAAGACAGCTTCCAAGAGTCAGTTCTCACCTTCCACCATGTGTATTCCACAGATCAAACTGAGGTTGTCAGGCTTAGCTGCAAGCACCCTTGCCCAAAAAGCCATCTCGCCAGCCCAGAGAAAGCCTGAATTTAGACTCAGTCCCTTGGCTGTGAAACAGATCCCCAGAGCCCAGAGTACCACCCTAGACATGCAGGACCCTGTTCTCTGCCTCTTTATTCCTACCCAAGCCAACAGACTTCACTTCCACACTTAACCAAGGGAAAAGTCAGCCAAGCATTTCCCCAGCCACTTTCTCTTGCAGCTGAAGCCAAAGCCAAAGCCAGAAGCCAGAAGCCAAAAGCTTGCCGTTCTCTATATCGAGCCCCTCCCCAATTCCCAAGCCAGCATCAGCCCAGCACCTAGGCCCAGCATGCGCACGCAGGCCAGACTCTCCATTCACCACCCCACACCACAAAGGGGGAACCCAGAAACACAAAAGAGCAAGCTTAGAGGAACCAAAGGAAAGAAATAAAAAGGGGGGGAAACGAAGAGGAAAAAAAAAGAGAAACTATGATGGGTTTGCACTCATTGTGAAACAACTCAGCCAGGACATACCTGTTTAAGCAGGGCCTCCCAGCTGCTCTCAGGGACTGTCAATGAGGTGGACAGTCTTCCTTATCCCTGAGGCCTCGGACCAAGTGTTGCTTTGGTTTATTTCAGGAAATGCTATTGGAAAGATAAAACAAAGTGCCTGGCAGGCACTATAAAAAGTGGAAGAAACACGGAAGACGTCATCATCCAGCGGGCGGCTACGTGTTTTTTACGCAGGGGCAAAGGGAGGGCAGACACATTGTGCGGCATCTCTCTCCCTTCCAGGAGAACCACCTCAGTCGCTCTGCCAGGGCCGAGCCTGTGACTTGCTGACATTCCATTCCTGTGTTCAGACGGACGCTGATCTTTGCCAGGTCGAAAGGAAGGGAAACTCGGCCACCGGGAAAGAAGAGAGGAGCCAAGGGAAGCGGCCACTGCTGGTCAGGGCCAGAGCTGGAAGGAGGCCAGATGTAAGTGGCCCCAGGCTTCTCTGGGATGGCTGCCATTTTCTCACAAGCAGAGAGAAAGATGGGAAGGGGTCTGCTCTGTGGAGCCACCCACTCCCATTGAGGAAAATTTCCACACACACACCCAGTGGCTGGCCTCAAACAGGATGTTACTTCCATTTCTTTGATTTTTTTCTCTCTCCCCTCTCTTTCCCTCTTTCTCTCTCTCTCTCTCCCCTCATTTGAATCTAATAGTAGCTAACATGTATAAATAATCATTGTTAATGTTATTTATTCTTTGTTTCCAAACCTTATATTCCTCTTCTCTTGAAAACTGGGGAAATCAACTCTGCTCACACAATAAAGATGCTCTCGCCCAACAGAAAGAAAACTCACCTAACTTCCTATTTCTAGGGAAAATAAATAGCCCGCCATGGTGCCATCTCTCCACAGAGGGCTCTTATTCTGCTCTTTTGTGGTTGTTTTGTTTTCAGTAGTTTGTGCTTCTGTTGTACCCAAAATAGAAGGATGCGAGGAGGGGGAGGGACACGTGGAAGGTAGGAGAAAAAAGCAAGGAGAACGGGAAAAGCCCAAGCTGTCTTTCATTTAAAAATATATATCACAACTAGAACAATGACCAGAGTCAGAGGGGGTGGCTAATCAGCCAGACAGTCTGTCCCATGGGCTCAGCAGCCGCCCTTTTTATCTGCTGTGGGTGAACCCCGGCCACTGCGGCGTCCTCGACAGGAGCGAGGCTCTTCCAAATCGTCCTCATCAAAGCCGTAGAAAGTTGAGGTGTCACTTTCTGACGTGGAACCGAATAAGTCCTCCGTGGTACGTGCTGCGGCCGCTGCCTCCTTCTCCTTCCTGCCTTCTCCTCCCAAATGAGCTGACATGTATGATGAATATATCAGCACATGGGTTAAGCAACAGACAGCATCATTCATATTCTCATTACATCATTACAGTGTTATTCCTAACCGCAAGATAATCAGCCACTGTTCCACCAAAAGGAACTAACCGGGTATATCACCTAGTAACAGGGATTCGGGACAAAGCACACATTTCCAGGAAGGGTTCCACTTCCCCGTATAGGTCCCATCGCTACCATGACACATGTGTCCACCGCTTCTGACAGCAAGAGATAGATACACGCACGCTATCTCCTCTGGTCCGCTCGCGCAGAGGCACAGGCTCCCCCAGCCCTGCCCCACACAATGCTCTTGCCTGGCAGTTTTAAAGCCTTGTTGGTATTTCTTTGTAGTTTCAGTTGACGTTTCTTTGAACAATGTTCGTCCGTCACTTTGACAGTCAGCTTTGCCAAGGTATTACTCTCAGATGCCCCATTCAAGGTGGTTAATCCTCCGTTCTTTTATTTGTATTTTTACCCACCTCTAACCCCACTCTTTGACAGCTCTTTCAATTCCGCCCTTACGCCATGTAGTTCATTTGTGCCAAAGCAAAGAGCAGTGGAAAGTCTTAGTGTTAGTTCGGAAGAACTTCTCACTTTCTTTTTTTTTGTTTGTTTGTTTGTTTGTTTGTTTTCTGGGGTTTTTTTGGGTTTTTTTTTTTTGAGACAGCATTTCTCTGTAGCTTTGGAGCCTGTCCTGGAACCAGCTCTTATAGACCAGGCTGGCCTTGAACTCACTGAGATCCGCCTGCCTCTGCCTCCCAAGTGCTAGGATCAAAGGTGTGCGCCACCACCACCCAGCAACTTCTCACTTTCTTAAACCCCGAAGGAAATGCTTGCAATCTCACACACTACCACCACTAAACATACCAGGGTCTTAGCTACTCCAGAAAGTTCATCCTGTCAACTCAAACTCAAGACACACCGAAAGGTGAAAATGGGGCTTTAGAATGCCTAGTGAATACAGTATCCTAAAACCTGTAAAACTCGGGCTTATATTGTTTCATACTCTGTTGGAACCCAATACCATAGTGATGGTCCCTTCCATGCCAGGGTTGGACAAGGCACTTTCTTCCAGGAACCAGAGGCAGTGGGTACGTGAGCAGGGAATGGGTGCTATTCCAACTCATGTTCTCCTCTGGAAGGGCCCTAGAGAGGCCCCAGAGATGTATTCACCCATCTGACTTAGCGGTCCCATTCAGGGGCTAACGCTACCTGTCTCTTAACAATTTCAGGAGCATTAGAGCCAGGTGGTAATAAGTGACCCAGCAGATTCATTCCCGGCAATCGCAGTGAGAATACCTACGTCACTGTAACATGACCCATGAGGCACATGTATCAGGCAGAACCAAGGAAAGAAACGCTGAGCAAAAGTCGTACAAAGACAGGTTTCATGTAGGAGAGGGGGAAAAAACAAAACCCGACATCCTGCTTACGATGCCCATGGATCAGTTGAAGTACCTCATCCTTCTGTTGGGAAGGAACGGGTGAAATGACAGCATTTCACAGTGAGAAGTCTCTAACTGCCTCCTCAAACCACCCAAAGCCTACAGCGGGCCACTCCACCAAATGGCCTTGCTTCTGATAGGAGAGATGTTGCCTGAGTGCCTGACCTTAAAACAAATGAAAAGCACTGGATTGAAGTTCATTTGTTTTAAGTTTCTTTTTAAAAATCTAAAAACCACCGCCGTCTATCATAAGGGTCGTATCTTCTAAGTAAAAAGTTCAATGTTACGTACCACGCTATGGACCATGAACCAAACTGACAGAATTGCATGAAAGGAATTCCCTGGCAGGGTCCTTGAGAATTAAATAAAGAGTCTTGTGCAATGGACACTAAGTCGTGTTTCCAATGGCTGCTTTACCGCTCAAGGCTGTCCAGAGCCCTAAACAACTTTAACTTCAAAACACATCATGCTAAAGGTAAAGTTGGGGGGGGGGCACAAGAGGGAGAACTGAGTCATTGCAGAAAACCAAGATGAGGTCACCTCGGTCCTTCTCTCGGGACTGGGGTCAAAATGTATCAGATGAAATGATCTCTCGTGCTGTGCAACCACCCAACCAAAGTGTCTCGCCTCTAGCCAGCAGCTCATGAAACTGAAGACGCCATCTGAAATCTTGTCTCCTTCCTGCCTTGTGCTTTGGTCTAATTATGACATAGAAAAACTGCGGAGGGATCAGGCAAAAAGAATGATCTATCTACAATTTAAAAACAATGGGCAGCCAAGACTCTTAACTCGTTTTAAGAATGAAGGAACGAGACCAAAAGTCTCTTTTTGATACTTGAGCCTTTGGATAGACAAGATGAAAAGAGTATGCAAAAGGTCAGCTGCACGTCAGTCTCAAGGACGCTCGCCCTAATGCCCCCTGGGTAGGCAGCTCTGTGCTGTCACACACGGAAATGCGGGATGAGCGGCCAATGGTGGTGGGAGGGCTATGCTGCTGGAAAGGAGCCCAGGACTCTCCAAGGCCCACAGTTCAGGCTTCCCTAATACTTCTGTTTCCATACTCTGGGATTGCCCCGGGTATTTCCACAGAACAAACACAATTTTTGCTACTTTCATCTTGTGGTACAGGCTAGCGTGTTGCCTGGAACCTCCAGGTATCTCTGCTCTACTTTGGTTTTGACCACAACTACACATACAAAACATTGTACACCCCGTGGGAGGGCCATACCTCCTCCTCGTCCTCTCACCTGGGACCCCGAGAATGGTTTTTATGTTCTTAAGACCCAAAGAAGAAAAACATGGAAGTGACCTGAAACCCCCATTTCCCCTCAAAACCATCACCACCGTCACTTCTCCGTGCTCCTCTCCCTCCCCAGCCGTGGTGAGATGGCAGAGCCATGCAAACAGAAGAGGCCTATGGCACACAGCGCAGGAAGGGGCCACACTCACCAGAGCGTCCACAGTCTGCACAGGACACAAGCTCCTCCGGCCGCCCACTCTTCTTGTTCATGTTTGAGCCCCCCAAGCAGAAGTCACAGTAGTTATTGGGAATGACTGTCCCATCTGGTCCTTTCTGGGCTGTGGAAACATTGAGAAAGAATTCCAATTTTAGACTTAGATGCTGTCCACTGGAGCATAGCAGAGTCTTTTCCAGAAAGAACAGAAAGCTTAGGATGGAAGAGTTTGCTACAGCCTAGTGGTGATATTGGGCTAGGATTTGTTTGCTTTTGCTTCCCCCCCCCCTTGGTCCACTGGTACACATCTTGCAAGTCATTCAGAATCTCATCTTTGCAAATTTTTCCAGTTCTATGTTTTTTTAATAGAAACCTCATTGCCCCTCTGATTCCATCTCTAAATTAATAAACGACTCAAAATGGTATGAGTTATTAGTCAAGCAAGCCACTGTTAATCCTGCACAGACTCCAAATCATCAGATGGAAATTGCAAACAGTGATACCCTGAGAGAGAGAGAGCAGCCAATGCTTTGGCCTAGCCTTTGAGAGAGAGAGAGAGAGAGAGAGAGAGAGAGAGAGAGAGAGAGAGAGAGATGCTTATTCAGTATCTGTGGCTAGTCACTTCTAGACAGCGTGCTGGAGAGGTTCCTGAGAACTCTTGGTAAACACCATGGAGTGTGCACAAGTGTCTGTTCTTAGCGCCAGCTCTTAGGTTGTAGACTCATTGATCATGGAAAGCAAGTAGGATACGTTCATCTGAAGAGCCCCAAATGCCTAGAATTACAAGTGGACACAGGGTGACTGTGTCCCACGTCAGAGATGGATGAAATGATGGGGGAATGAGCACATGTGCAGGCTGAAGGTCTTCCTAAGTAACTGGACACAACAACTCCATAACCTATGCCTGCTGAATGTCCAAATGAAGGTGTTAATAACTCCTTAGATGTGACCTTGAAAACAGAGCCCAGTGGAAATACCTATGGCTTTGAGGCCCAAAGTCATTCCCAGTTACTAGAAATGGAAAGTTGGAAAGTTGGAAAGCCCCAACCAGGTTCCTCACATGGGAGAATGCTTCCAATTTCTTATTTCTCTCGTCCTGTTGTAGACATTTCTTAGGGATGTTCACACTCCCTTATTGCCACTAACAAGAAAAGTTTCTCTGTTTGTGGAGTCAGCCTTAACCACTAGGGTATGTGTTCCTCTTTAGCATCCTCTGAGTCTGCTGCTATCTTTCATTATTCACTGGCTAACATTAATCAGGGTCCCGTAGGGTACGAATCTGTGAAGAGGAGGCAGATATGTGAACAGAAATACCAGCCAGACCGTAACTGATAAACAGATTCGCCCCCTTTAATATGATTCCCTCTGGCCTTGGCTTCCTCCATGCCTCTGCTTTGCCTCCAGGAATAGCAAACTTACCTGGGGAAGGCGGAAGACAAAAGCTAGTGGAATTACATTACAGAGGGTTAATCCATTTATCAGTTGCTATTTGAATTGTTTAATCAGTTTCTAAGTCATTGATTTCCATCTTCGAGCAGGCAGGCAATCCTCTGCAAGAAAAGTGTTGGCTGTTTGGGAAAGAGGCAGAGGAACGGGCCACCCTCTGTGGTCTTTTGAGGATGGGCTTCCCTTCCGCAGCCACTGGATCTCAAAGACATCTGAAGAGCAAGCAGAGTGACTTTCCAAATCCTCTCCCAAGGCCTGCGCATCTGCCGAAATTTGACAGTGCCTCTGAAATGTGCTCTGCCCGAGCCAGAAGTACCAGTCTCTGCCCTTTCTGCCTTTTTCAATTGCCCTCTCCCTCGCTCCCAGTACTTCCTAGAGAAAAATCTAAGTGTGTTTAAGAAGCAAATAAACATAAGGCTTCCTATTCAAAAGAAACACTGAAGGCTAGTAGGTGGTGAATATAAACTAGTGGTGGGAAAATATTAAATTTAGAAGCCAAGTTTCACGATTGGGTGAACTAGATATTAAGCAGGCCGTGCTCCTCACATCTGAGTAGCTTCCCGCACACAGGACAAGAGGCCCATATACACCGTGCCAGGGGCCGCAGGCTCCCAGCCTGACTTTCTCCTCCATGCACACAGGCTTTCTGCAGTATCAGACGCCTTCCCCATTCTCAAAATCCTTCTGCCACCCAAAACCCTGCAAGCCTTCAACTGACTGTATTCCCTGATGGTTTATATAGATGAAGAGGTGTTGAAATAGGAGCGGCAGGGCTGCGTCCCTGGCACCCGGCCGCCCGCATGGCTAGCTTATACCCAGAAATAATTACACGGAAACTGTATTCTTTCAAACACTGCCTGGCCCGGCTAGGTCCAGTTTCTTATTGGCTAGCTCTTACATATTGTTCTAACCCATTTCTAATATTCTGCGTAGCCCACGAGCTGGCTTACCAGGGAGGATCTTAACCTGCATCTGTCTGGAGTGGGAGCATCATGGCGACTCCTCGACTCAGCTTCTTTTTCCCAGCATTCTCTTCTGTCTACTCTGCCTACCTAATTTTCTGTCCTATGAGGGCCGAGGCAGTTTCTTTATTATTACAAGACCCACCTCCATCAAAGAGGGAAAATAGAGAAAACAGTAACTTCCAGACTGTTCTGCACATTCTTCACCAAAGAGGTAGACTACTCCATTGAATCAAGAGCTCCAGGTCAGGCCTAGTGGTACAGGCCTGTATTCCCAGGTGCTTAGGAGTCTGGGGCTGGAGGAAACCTAGGTTCAAGGCTTGCCAAAGAAAGCTAAAGGCCAACCTTGGTAACTCATGGAACCCTGTCTCAAAATGTAAAATAAAATAGTCAGGAGAGAGCAGGGGACGTGTCTCATTAGTGGAGCACTCATCTGGCAGGCATGGGACCCGAGTTTTAAAGAAGTTTCAGAGGACAGGGTGTCAAGGCAGTGTCCCTGTGTACACAGAAAGACAGAATGTCTGTGTAAGGGAGTGAGGAGGGTAGACTTAGGGATGTACAAGAAGAGGCAAGGGGTATGTTGTGGTTTAACAATGGTCCAGTTTAGACAGTGACGGTGAGAGAGGGGTGTGGCTCGGTGATGGAGCACCACGAGGTGAGGAAGGAGGGGACAGGGGAACAGTACCAGCCACTCAAGGCGGGGAAGGAAGGGGCAGGGGGACAGTACCAGCCACTCTTTAGCTTCAGCTGAGGGTCTACTCTTCTTGCAGCGATAGGCTCAAAGCCTCCTTCCACCTCAGTAAAATGACAAGGTGTGGCCTAAGAGCATATACATTGGTTCTCTTATGCTCTTTGATATTCAGGAATGGTTGGAGAACACAGGTGCTTCCATGGACCCTACCTATCCCAACAATGACTGTGGCTCAGAGAAGACACTGTGTTAGTAGTACTATTGCATCTCTTGATACGTGTGCACACCTGCCTCATATATTTCCACGCAATGATCTACTTCCTTTGATAGATTTAACTCTGGGCTACCTGCATGCCTTGCATACTGGAAATGGTGACCAATAATTTGTGGGCTGAATGGCTTAGAAAAGATGACAGAAATATAAACAGGTATCATACGATGCTTCTGGAACCTTCTTTGTGAATACAGAGCGTGATATCAGCTTCCCCTCTGGCAGAGCAATCTTTCCTCGCTTTTGGCTTTTTTCTTGACTCCTCAAAGAGATAGTCTATGTCCAAACAGATGAACTCACAGCCACTCCCAGAATATGCAAGAGTAGGTAGCTGACGGTCCTGAATGGCTAGAAGAATAATACTGTAGATAACTGTTACGGCTTGGTACGAAGCCAGATGTGTTCAAAAGCTCGGTTTCCAAAGCAGCAGTATTCCAAAATAGAACTTTAAGGGGATTGAGTGTACTGTGCAGGTTATGACCTAATCGATGATCTAAGCCAATGGTATGTTCAAAATCCAAATAGATTATTGGGAGAGAATGGAACTGTAGAAGGAGCCTTGTTGGAGAAAGTGGGTCACTGGGCGCATGTCTTTGGAGAGTATATCATGGCCCTGGCCCCTTCATGCTAAGCCACTCTGCTTCCTGACCATCTGAAGTAGGTAGCTCTGCCCCCACTCTACCCTATCTGCCATGATGCTCTGCCTCATTGTAACCCCGAAAATCCAAACTGAACAGCTGTGGATTGAAACCTATGAAACTGTGAGCCAAATCAGTCTTTTCCCCTCTGGGGTATTTATCAGAGCAACAAAAGTCTGGGCTAACACGGCCACTCCAGAAAGCACAAAACCATAATTCATTATCACCTAAGAAATGATACAAGTTCATGTCTACCCTCTTAGCCTCCCTATGGCTCAAAGGCTTGTTGAGAAGGATGAGAATCGGGGATCTACCATACTGCTTACTGCTATGACGGGGCTTCTGCTAGATGCCCGGTGTATATTGGTTCCTATAGAAGCCATGTGAAGCAGGGAGTTGTTTGAAAGGGGAGGTACCCAAAATCCAAAAATCAAGGTCTCAGTTGCAAAAAAGGAGATAGGTTGCATCCCCAGTTGTCTACATCCCCAGAGGTTCACATTGCTCAGCCTCCCAGGAGGTCTGAGAGCAAACACCTTCTGGGCTGTACCTTGCACAGTAAGCATTTCATAAGCCTCTTTAGAGTCTGTTTGATTCATCCAATATATTAATTATAAAGCTTAAGGCAATAAAAATTATTTTGATTGGCCTGATAAAAGTGGATTCCTTTCGAACTTCAATTTACTGTCCCTGCCACAGTAATCCATCCAGGCTGACTCTATGATAACACTTCTCTGGGTGAACTCCAAAGAGTCTGAAAGAGCCCTAAGTCATAGCTCATTCTATAGCCACAATGGCCTATGGCCTGACCTAGCCATGAGCAATTCCAGGCACCATACATGAATCATTATAAAAAGGATTTTACTATAAATAGGGGGCTTGTCCAGACCTTTAAAGTGGACTTTAAATAGAGACTTTGCTTCCGCTCATGGGAAATCAAGCGCCCCTTTAGCCTCACTTGGAAGCCAAAGACAACAGGGAGGATCCCAGTGGTGTCCTGACAGCAGTGTCCACAGTGACGGATCTGCTTCACCGGTGACTGGTGTTTATAACAGAGACCATAGAAGGGATATGGGTAAACTGCCAAGAAAAGAAAGTGAGGCTTGAGAGTTTGGGGAT